TCCCTCCTTCTCTCCCACCCTGTCCCTCCCTCCCTTTCAACCTCTCTCCCTTTCTCCTTCCTTGCTCCCTCCCTGTCTGTCTCCATCTCACTCCCTCCCTCCCTTCATCCCTCCTTCTCTCCCACACTCCCTCTCTATCTCCCTCCCTCTCCCTCCATTTCTCTCCTTCCCACCCCTTCCATCCTCCCTCCTTCTCTCCCTCCCTTCCTCTCCCTCCCTTCCATCCTCCCTCCTTCTCTCCCTTCCTCTTTCTCTCCCTCCTTCCTTCCTTCCTTCCTTCTTTCCTCCCTCCCTATCCCTCCATTTCTCTCCCCCTCCCTCTCATCCTCCTTCTTTCCTTCTCTCTTCCTCCCTCCCTTTCTTCCTTCTCCTCCCTCCCTCCTTCTTTCCATCCTCCCCCCTTCTCTCCTTCCATTCCTCTCCCCCCTTCCATCCTCCCTCCTTCTCTCCCTTCCTCTTTCCCTCCCTCCCTCCTTCCTTCCTTCTTCCCTCCCTCCCTTCCTATCCCTCCATTTCTCTCCCCCTCCCTCTCATCCTCCTTCTCTCCTTCTCTCTTCCTCCTTCCCTTTCTTCCTTCTCCTCCCTCCCTCCTTCTTTCCATCCTCCCCCCTTCTCTCTCTTCCTCCTCCCTCCCTCCCTTCCCCCACTCCTCCTATCCTCCCCCCCGACTCTCTATTTTTCATCGATTACCCCACCCAGAGTCACCAATTACAAAGTGAGCCATCCAGGAACACCTTGAAATAACTACCCTAAGTCTAAAATGCCCCCTCCAGCATTGGGAGACACCGTGAGCCATCCAAACAAACCCCCCAGGGGGGGGGTGATGGTTTGGGCTGTTCCTCAAGCATGTCACCCCCTCCCCTCCCCCACGAGGGGTGCTGGCTGTGACCGCTAGGCCCCCTCCTGCCCAGGATGAGACTCACATTTCAGCGTTGCTGAGATTCCTGGCTTCCGTGATAATCTCCTGCAGCAGCACGGAAACATCATCTGAAAGAGGATCGGGGCAGGGGAAACGCTGAGAAAAACCAACCGACGGACCTCAGGCACGTATTTTTTGGGGGTGGGTGGGTGGGAAGGGGGCTTCTTCTCATCCCACCTCCCCTGGAAAGCCGGCTCCTTGCCAGCCCACTCCCCCCAATTTCAGGGAATACGGCCGAATCCTCATCGGAGCCTCTTCGCGGTGGGTCTGGAGGCAGAGATCTGCCCTGGTTCCTCCTGCCCTTGCATACTTACCCAGGTGAGTGAAAAGGTTCTTGGCCACTTGCAAAAGAGCCTGTGGAGAGGGAAGACAGGTGAACCCTCTCGTTCTTTCTCAGCACCAACATGGTGGTTTGGGGGTTTTTTTGGGGGGTGAGGTGGGGGAAGGAGACACACTGCTACCTCTTCTCCCAATCCCAAACTGCCCGCAGAATAACCGAATATCAGAGTTGGAAGGGACCTTGGAGGTCTTCTAGTCCAACCCCTTGCTCAGGCAGGAGACCCCAGACCCATTTCAGACAAGTGACTCTTCTTAAAAACCCCGCCGGTGTTGGAGCACTCACGACTTCTTGGTGGCCGGCAGTTCCGCTGGGTTCATGGTTCTCACGCTCAGGAAGTTCCTCCTTCGTTCCAGGTTGCTTCTCTCTCTCTCTCTCCGATGACGTTCATCCAAATTGAACATAGAAACGTCGGGCTGGAAGGAAGGCGCCTTGGAGGTCTTCTAGTCCAACCCCCTCCTCAGCCGGGAGACCCCACACCATTTCAGAAAAATAGTTGTCCAATTGAGTTTAGTGGGTTTTGACCTTCAAAAGTCCCAGGAGCTGAAGTCCAGCTTGTATGATTTGGCTGCTTATTTGTACCCTGTGACTTTTCTTTCAACGTACGCTGAGAGCATTTGCACCAAGACAAATTCCTTGTGTGTCCAATAAACACACTTGGCCAATAAAGAATTCTCTTCTCTTCTCTTCTCTTCTCTTCTCTTCTCTTCTCTTCTCTTCTCTTCTCTTCTCTTCTCTTCTCTTCTC